CAACCAAAATATTTATCTCGTCCGACATAAAGAGAAAGAATTGATTGGCCGCCGTAATGTGGTAACTAGGATGCTTTAAAATACTAATTAATAAGAGATGTCTCCATTAAAATTTAAAATCCTTTGAACACTAATAACTTTGATTTTCAATCTTCACGTTCTGGAAGCCTGCCATAAACTTAATAGTTTATAATGGTCATTTATCCGAGCGTTCCACGGCGTTTTTCCAACTTAATAACTATCGCAATTTTTGCTAGTTTACCGACAAAAGGTTTGCTATCTAGCTTCCAAGATGCATGTGTTAAAGGAACAGCTTTCTCTCTGGTTTACTGGGAACAAAAGCCGTACATTTTCAAAGACGAGAAGCACAGTGAAATAGACGGCGCTCTGCCTGAAATCCTTCGCAGCGTCTATAAAACGTGCTGCAAAACAAACGCTAAGATATCAGCAAAACTCATCGATTATCCTACATCACTGAAAGCAACGATCGACGATTACTCAAATGAAGTTATAATTCCGGTGGGGCGAAGAGTTGGCCGCGAGGAGTCAATATATCTTCACCCTTTTCTTGGTTTAGTTGATTCGCCCGGAATTGCTGTCGTTGCACAGAAAAGTATACCAGGAGAAGAATTGATGGCCGCCATTTTGGATTCCTGGCCTATTTTAATCTTCATCGGGATGTCGTTATCACTCAGTGGAATTGTTATGTGGGCTCTGGTAAGAAGCTTTATCGATCTAACTAGGAAACTGAGTGTTTACACTATTCACGAGGAGTTAGCATTGTGTGCCAGTGATGTAAAACAAGGACACTGTGTGGTACAGTTCTGAGCTTTCACTACTGGAGTTTCTTAAGGACGTTCGCGCTAATTGTTTCTACGCATCCTTACTGCGCACGCAAACTCACACGCCACGTCATGCATCGAGCGCGCGCTAAGTACTAAAATGAACAATGATAGGGCAGATGGCCACTGCTATAGCTTTGCATGGATTTAACGATCTTCGACGTACGGTGACCCCTACTTTTCTTTCCAGAAACAGAGTTTATTTGCAATTATCTCCACATTGTCCAAAAATGAACAAAAAATCAATGTGGGAAGTTAAAAAAACTCAAGATTTCTTTCCACGGGACATCGAATCCTGCCATCTTACGGCTGCAAGGCGCGTGAACATACGGTCGCTAAATGCGAACTTGTTCTTTAAGGAACCTTACCAGTTGACAAAATTCACTTGATAGGTCCACTTAAACAATATCTGGCAGAGACCATTTCACTTCAAAGATCTAATTGCAATATTTTTGGGCTTGCAGACACTGTGGCCTTATTTGCTAACGATTTTTTCAGATTTAGGGTGTTCTTCCGAGCATGTTCTTTCCAAAACAAAGTCGGTGACCCCCCATTTTTTTTTACATTTCTGACATAACTAACTCATCATCTTACAGTGATAAAAGTTTCAGAAAAAAATCAATGTTGGAAAATTTTCGCGCGAACGTCTTTAAGTCTGTTTTTCAGCTTTTATGAGCTTTCCTGCTAATAGGAATAAATAACCCACCGAAATGAAGATGGCTATGATAACCTAAAAACGTGTCCAGCTCCTAATTATCTGCAGAGGTCATGCCTTCGAATCCTGTGCAAGCCTGAATTAGTTGGGTACATAACTGCAATGATCATTGATCTCCTACATCAACCTACAGACTCAAGAGTCCAGGAACTCGGCCGCAAAACAATACTACACATTGTTTACTTTGCTGTTTAAAAGTATACTACAAGTTGTTACGTTGTTTTACCACGGAATTCGATTTTGCGAGTCATTTCTGTGCCTTTCTATAATAAGACATTTAACATTGCTTACTGTCATTCTTCAAGTTAAGGCTGCTTTCAACTTAAATGCAAGCAATTCAATTCGATTCAGAGACTTGACCATTTCATTCTCGATCGTTTTTCCTCGCAGGACTATCGCTCAAACGCTGAAGAATTCCCCGAGTTCTTTCCTAGCGGAGTATTTGAAGCTGTATGGTGGGCTGCGGTTACCATGACAACAGTGGGGTATGTAGTTATATTAATAACAATTATATATATATCAAAATAATTGGTCTGCATATACCCTGTGCAAATGCAGCCTGCTCTACAGCGTCCACCGTCAGACGGTGAAAACTAGCTCACAGTGATTAACACTATAAGCTGATTAGATTGTAAAGAAACAATTACCTACAAAGAATCTCTAGTTCTCTTACCGTAACCATTGTTTTGTTACCTCACAGAAGTAGTTCGCGTTTCCCCGCCTTGCAATTGATACAGACTTGCTACCGTCCTGTTACGTAAACATAATGTCAGAACTCCATTACTTTGAATTAAACAATGTTCTTTGTTCTTTAGCTATGGCGACAAGGTGCCTCGCAGTGTTGGAGGTCGTCTGTTTGGTGTGGTGTGGATTAATGTAGGCCTTGTTATATTAGCCATTTATATGGGTATAGTCACTTCTTCCCTTAGCAGTAACAGTCTTGAACAAGTCAACAACATTTATGGAATGCCGGTAAGCATACACTTGTAGCTTGGCGAGCCTTTTCATTAGGCACGCGCTCAGTACACGCTGAAAATATTTTGAGTAGAATTTCAGACGCAGCGAGGCGAGCGAGGAGACAGAAGCTAGGCTTGCCTCTCAGTAAAGAACGAATTCCTTCTCATCTTTCTTTTCTTCTTCTGGTTCCAGGTTGCGGTTCTGAATGGCTCTGCCCAGCAGCAACTGGCCATTTTGCAAAACGCTGAAGTTCACGGTATTACGTTTCTTGAGTGTTTGGGCTTTGTGATGATTTGCTCTGTTTAACTATACGGCAGGCGTGTCCCTCGTTATATTTTTGAAGCAGAACCCTATTTTCAAGTGTACGAGGATGCGACTGAATCATTTTTTTACAGGGTGGCAACCTAAGTAACTAGTTTTCAGGCCTTTTTGACACCGTGTGACTTGTGATTTCTCAGTTGTCTTTCGGATTAGGCTTCTACATTTCTTCATCTAGTTTTCAGTAGTTTAGTTTTAATGAGATCGTCAGCAAAATATAAGACAGATAAATTCAAATAGACAAACAAATGATAAAAAGAAATTCAAAATAGCACGGGATGTGACGGGGGAAACAAACAGAACTACCGTGCCAATTGCGATCTAAATCCCCCCCCCCTTCCATTTTCACCTATTTTGTAGTGAAACGAAGTTACAACGAATTGTACAAGAGCGTAGAAAGCGGTGAAACCCGAATAGCCCTGGTAGACATCTTCAGCACTCCACAGCACAGTGAATATTATGATGAGTACAAACTGTATGTAGCAACAGTCCTGAATGAGCGTGTTATCTATGGAGCGGTCTTACCCATGGGTACAGAGAACATCAGAAAATGTTTCCTTGATTACCATGGAAACCATCAGCTGGAAGTACACGAGATCTTAGAAAAGTACATCAATTCAGAACAGGTTGGTGACCGGCTTTCTAGTTAAGTTACATGCTGCCCTACACGCCAGCAGGCATAAGGGCACTAAGTTTTTAGTTACTTGGAGAATTGTTTATCATAGAGTTTTTAGTGGCTTAATTTAGAAAAGCTTGATTGTCATATGGTTTGAGGGAACTACGGATTTATAGTGCCTTTTCCATTTCTTTCACATTTCTATTGATTTTCTTGAATAGCTTTAGCTTTTGTATCTGTCCAGCAAAGACTATCATAAATGCATGGGCTTTCACCCTCAATCTAGGCCATCACGTAGTTACCATGGTAAGGAATGCTAGAAGCTAGTCAGAACCGTCGTTAGATTTCTATCACTTCATCGATTACTGGTTTTGAGCGTGCAAATCTACCTGCATTTTTCAATATCGGCTCAAAAAGGTTAAACTACCAAAGAAACATCTGAAAATAACCCATAGAGACATCAACGAAAGGAGTGATCATGACGGGGGGCGTCAACCTTATGTTTTTGACAGGGATGAGTTCTCTGCTACTTTTAGTGGAGTCATTTGTCTGGCACGTATTTTAAAATGTCGCTTGGTCTTTAATTCCCTTTTTTATAATTATGTTTGATGGTATTTCGACATTATTTTTGGCCAATGTATTTTATCCAGCATGAGGTAACTATTAGAAAACATCTGTTCAAAACATGAGGATAATTTGCTGTTGTCATATTTCAGTACGGCGGTGATAACTCAAGCTCTGGTACGGACTATTTTAAAGGCAGTCTGTTTGGTTACACCATCTATGGCATGTTTGGTTTGTTTATGATCGCCTTAGCCATTGGTCTTATCTGGCAATATTATTCACGGACACAAAAGGAACACAAACGTCAAACCAGTGCAGGTGAGCAACCAANCATCGAGCGCGTGCTAAGTACTAAAATGAACAATGATAGGGCAGATGGCCACTGCTATAGCTTTGCATGGATTTAACGATCTTCGACGTACGGTGACCCCTACTTTTCTTTCCAGAAACAGAGTTTATTTGCAATTATCTCCACATTGTCCAAAAATGAACAAAAAATCAATGTGGGAAGTTAAAAAAACTCAAGATTTCTTTCCACGGGACATCGAATCCTGCCATCTTACGGCTGCAAGGCGCGTGAACATACGGTCGCTAAATGCGAACTTGTTCTTTAAGGAACCTTACCAGTTGACAAAATTCACTTGATAGGTCCACTTAAACAATATCTGGCAGAGACCATTTCACTTCAAAGATCTAATTGCAATATTTTTGGGCTTGCAGACACTGTGGCCTTATTTGCTAACGATTTTTTCAGATTTAGGGTGTTCTTCCGAGCATGTTCTTTCCAAAACAAAGTCGGTGACCCCCCATTTTTTTTTACATTTCTGACATAACTAACTCATCATCTTACAGTGATAAAAGTTTCAGAAAAAAATCAATGTTGGAAAATTTTCGCGCGAACGTCTTTAAGTCTGTTTTTCAGCTTTTATGAGCTTTCCTGCTAATAGGAATAAATAACCCACCGAAATGAAGATGGCTATGATAACCTAAAAACGTGTCCAGCTCCTAATTATCTGCAGAGGTCATGCCTTCGAATCCTGTGCAAGCCTGAATTAGTTGGGTACATAACTGCAATGATCATTGATCTCCTACATCAACCTACAGACTCAAGAGTCCAGGAACTCGGCCGCAAAACAATACTACACATTGTTTACTTTGCTGTTTAAAAGTATACTACAAGTTGTTACGTTGTTTTACCACGGAATTCGATTTTGCGAGTCATTTCTGTGCCTTTCTATAATAAGACATTTAACATTGCTTACTGTCATTCTTCAAGTTAAGGCTGCTTTCAACTTAAATGCAAGCAATTCAATTCGATTCAGAGACTTGACCATTTCATTCTCGATCGTTTTTCCTCGCAGGACTATCGCTCAAACGCTGAAGAATTCCCCGAGTTCTTTCCTAGCGGAGTATTTGAAGCTGTATGGTGGGCTGCGGTTACCATGACAACAGTGGGGTATGTAGTTATATTAATAACAATTATATATATATCAAAATAATTGGTCTGCATATACCCTGTGCAAATGCAGCCTGCTCTACAGCGTCCACCGTCAGACGGTGAAAACTAGCTCACAGTGATTAACACTATAAGCTGATTAGATTGTAAAGAAACAATTACCTACAAAGAATCTCTAGTTCTCTTACCGTAACCATTGTTTTGTTACCTCACAGAAGTAGTTCGCGTTTCCCCGCCTTGCAATTGATACAGACTTGCTACCGTCCTGTTACGTAAACATAATGTCAGAACTCCATTACTTTGAATTAAACAATGTTCTTTGTTCTTTAGCTATGGCGACAAGGTGCCTCGCAGTGTTGGAGGTCGTCTGTTTGGTGTGGTGTGGATTAATGTAGGCCTTGTTATATTAGCCATTTATATGGGTATAGTCACTTCTTCCCTTAGCAGTAACAGTCTTGAACAAGTCAACAACATTTATGGAATGCCGGTAAGCATACACTTGTAGCTTGGCGAGCCTTTTCATTAGGCACGCGCTCAGTACACGCTGAAAATATTTTGAGTAGAATTTCAGACGCAGCGAGGCGAGCGAGGAGACAGAAGCTAGGCTTGCCTCTCAGTAAAGAACGAATTCCTTCTCATCTTTCTTTTCTTCTTCTGGTTCCAGGTTGCGGTTCTGAATGGCTCTGCCCAGCAGCAACTGGCCATTTTGCAAAACGCTGAAGTTCACGGTATTACGTTTCTTGAGTGTTTGGGCTTTGTGATGATTTGCTCTGTTTAACTATACGGCAGGCGTGTCCCTCGTTATATTTTTGAAGCAGAACCCTATTTTCAAGTGTACGAGGATGCGACTGAATCATTTTTTTACAGGGTGGCAACCTAAGTAACTAGTTTTCAGGCCTTTTTGACACCGTGTGACTTGTGATTTCTCAGTTGTCTTTCGGATTAGGCTTCTACATTTCTTCATCTAGTTTTCAGTAGTTTAGTTTTAATGAGATCGTCAGCAAAATATAAGACAGATAAATTCAAATAGACAAACAAATGATAAAAAGAAATTCAAAATAGCACGGGATGTGACGGGGGAAACAAACAGAACTACCGTGCCAATTGCGATCTAAATCCCCCCCCCCTTCCATTTTCACCTATTTTGTAGTGAAACGAAGTTACAACGAATTGTACAAGAGCGTAGAAAGCGGTGAAACCCGAATAGCCCTGGTAGACATCTTCAGCACTCCACAGCACAGTGAATATTATGATGAGTACAAACTGTATGTAGCAACAGTCCTGAATGAGCGTGTTATCTATGGAGCGGTCTTACCCATGGGTACAGAGAACATCAGAAAATGTTTCCTTGATTACCATGGAAACCATCAGCTGGAAGTACACGAGATCTTAGAAAAGTACATCAATTCAGAACAGGTTGGTGACCGGCTTTCTAGTTAAGTTACATGCTGCCCTACACGCCAGCAGGCATAAGGGCACTAAGTTTTTAGTTACTTGGAGAATTGTTTATCATAGAGTTTTTAGTGGCTTAATTTAGAAAAGCTTGATTGTCATATGGTTTGAGGGAACTACGGATTTATAGTGCCTTTTCCATTTCTTTCACATTTCTATTGATTTTCTTGAATAGCTTTAGTTTTTGTATCTGTCCAGCAAAGACTATCATAAATGCATGGGCTTTCACTCTTAATCTAGGCCATCACGTAGTTACCATGGTAAGGAATGCTAGAAGCTAGTCAGAACCGTCGTTAGATTTCTATCACTTCATCGATTACTGGTTTTGAGCGTGCAAATCTACCTGCATTTTTCAATATCGGCTCAAAAAGGTTAAACTACCAAAGAAACATCTGAAAATAACCCATAGAGACATCAACGAAAGGAGTGATCATGACGGGGGGCGTCAACCTTATGTTTTTGACAGGGATGAGTTCTCTGCTACTTTTAGTGGAGTCATTTGTCTGGCACGTATTTTAAAATGTCGCTTGGTCTTTAATTCCCTTTTTTATAATTATGTTTGATGGTATTTCGACATTATTTTTGGCCAATGTATTTTATCCAGCATGAGGTAACTATTAGAAAACATCTGTTCAAAACATGAGGATAATTTGCTGTTGTCATATTTCAGTACGGCGGTGATAACTCAAGCTCTGGTACGGACTATTTTAAAGGCAGTCTGTTTGGTTACACCATCTATGGCATGTTTGGTTTGTTTATGATCGCCTTAGCCATTGGTCTTATCTGGCAATATTATTCACGGACACAAAAGGAACACAAACGTCAAACCAGTGCAGGTGAGCAACCAAAAGTAAAAATTTGTCTCTTTCAACTGAACAAGTAACTTGTGTTTTATCTAGCTCCTGGACTTGCCTACCAAGTAATTACCTTTGAGACCCGGGGACGGCATGGGTACCCATAGGAAAATTGATTGGAGGATCAGACCCCGGGGGAACTCCCTTATATATTATAAAAAGGACAGGGTTACTCATCGTGCTTCTAGTTTGGTGTCTCCTGGGGTGGTCAGCCTAAAAATGTCCACGGCGGAACCTTACACGGTACGTTTTAGGGTACTGAGCCGAAAAAAGTCGACGTCATTTAATGTGTTGTTTGAGAATTGGTACCTCTTAGATGTGAAAAGAATTCAAGCCACGCCCACAAAACATGATGTTTGTAACTCTTAGGAGTTCTGTTTTAAATTTCCAAGCAGCAGCCCCGTCCTTTTTATAGGAGAGTCTTTCCGGGGGATCAGACCAGATCTGGAAAACCATTTCCTATTTCAGAGCAATTTTCTATATCTTATTTTATACCTGCCCATGTTCAATAAACTATCCTTGTTCAAGCTTTATCAAATTTCATTGGGGTATTGGAGTATTGGTGTATTGGGGTATTAGCGTATTGGGTTATTGGGGTATTGCGGTATTAGGGTATTGGGGAATTACTCTTATACCGTAGTATCCCAAGACATCAATACCCCATTATCCTAACACCCTAATAGTCTGTTATCCTAATACCCTAATACCCTGACATCCTAACGCCCTAATATCCTTATACTGTTATACCCTGATACCCTAATACCCAATACTCCAATACCATAATACCCTAATACCCTAATATCCTAATACCCTAAGAGGCTAATACCTTAATACCCTAATACCCTAATACCCTAATGCTCTAATACCCTAATTAATGCCCTAATACCCTCAATACTTTAAGACCCTAAGACCCTAATACCTTAACACACGGACTTTGGAAAAAAACTTTTGCCTTCACTATTTCACTAGGAGGACAACAGGATTCAAATACTGAACATTCCACAACTAAGACTAACAAAGATAAGGACAATAAGGAGCATGATCAAAGGGGAGTACCATTAAACTTCAGTGAGCAAACAGAGAGACTTATGGCTGCTCAAAGCGCCGAGCTACTCGCCATGGAGGACGAATTCAAAGCTTTTCGCAAAAACTGGGAAAAGAACTTCCGTGGTCTGCAGGAAAAGCACAAGAAAGAACAAGAAAGACTGTTTGAGCTCGATAATTTTGGCTACGAAATGTGAGGAAACTTTTTACTAAACAAAAGAAAAGGCAGAGTCAAGAAAACAGCACAGAAAGAAAATTTCATCATCTATGTACGTTCTTACTTCATTTTTATGTCTTGTACAAAGAACTCAAGGAATGGGGTTTTAAATATAATTTTTCTTTAAAATAAAGTGAAAGTTTAAAAATCTTTCGGTTCTGTAGCGTGTTCAGTGATTTCTTCTCAGTTCCTAATGCCATGCTTCTACTAGTAAGCTACCGAACTGGACTCAGGGAGTAACACAGTAATGGTGTACAAGTGAAGATATGAAAGATCATATATTTGAACTGCGAAGAAAGTTATGAGGACATGATTAATCATGGCAGTTAAATGCACAACTTCAGCAATTTTGAAATTAAACCCTGAAAAAAACATTCAAGCTTGAACGGGGTTCGAACCCATGACCTCTGTGATACCGGTGCTGTGCACTTGGTAGAGAACTGCATCGGTATCGCAAAGGTCATAACTGCAATGACCAATCATTTCTTCACAGTAATGGTTAGTTGCATTTCTGCAAACGCTCTAGAACGCTCTAGAGCAGAGGTAGCCTGCGAACGCAGACGTATTTCCGGCTGTCACTCGGTTCCGCCGAAAAATAACGTCTGCGAACCCGAGCCAGAAAACGATTTCTGTGACGTAGGAATTCTAAACCAATCACAGTTTAGCTCAAATAACCCCAGAACTACTGAGCGAGGTATTCGCTGCGAGGAGCACTCGAGTTTCATTCTATCATGGAATCTGATTGGCCAAGGAGAAACAAAAGTCACTAAAGTCGGGTTCGCAGACGTTATTTTTCGGCGGAACCAGGTGACAGCCGGAACACGTCTGCGTTCGCAGGCTAGAGCAAAGGCGAATATCTACCCACCGGACATGTGGCTACACTACAACCTGTCACAGTTCGTTTTCTGCAGAACGAAGTAACTTTACGCGACTCTACTTTCCTGAATGTGATGCAAGTCAGTCCACTATCAGAGGTGAGTGACAAAGTAAATTTTAATTTCCTTTAAAACTCGCAGTGGGATATAGATGAAACTAGTACCCTTGTCCTTGTCAGTAATTTTACTTGCGCCCAATGAAACCGCATAACAATGAAAGCCAAACATCAGCCATATGTTAGCACGAGAATAACTATTTAAATCCGCGCGTCCTCGTCTTTGAATGCAGCAACTGGCGTGGCATTGTACTATTATCCACCCCTAGTAAGATCTTAGCGAAAGTCATCATGAAGCGCCTATCACTGGCTGTGGACCTTAAACTCCGCGAGGAACAGGCAGGTTTCAGGAGAGGAACGGGATGTATCGATCATATTTTCACGCTGAGAAATATTATTAAACAGAGTACCGAGTGGCAGCGAACTCTCTATGTGAACTTTGTAGATTTTGCCAAAGCCTTCGATAGTGTGCATCGACACAGCCTCTGGAAGATATTACGAGCGTATG